ATCGTCGTAAGATCGCGGAGGCTGCACTGGGCCGAGCCACGTGGTTAACGCTGGATTAGAGACCGCTGGCGCACGCAAGTGCCTGGCACAGAAATGGCCTGGGTCCACAAGAGATGGGGTCGGCCAGGTCCACCTGTGGAACGAATCCATGCGAAGCTTCGAGTGGCATCTCGTTTGTGTGCGCGGGGGTTTGTCTGCCGGCCCACCGGCTTCCTGCCCGATGGATCTGACCAAACGTCGAAACCGAGCAGAGTTTGTCAACTCCAGTCCTTGAGACACCCAGCCCGTAGCCCGCATGTTCACGCGATCGCCAATCCGTTCTAGTCGCATGCAAATAAAGCCACTGCACACATCTGATGATTGGTAACGACAGAAAGCTGCTCTGGGGGGAGGATGAGGGGGTAACGATGACCCTCCTGAAAGAGTGTGGAGACTCAGCGAGGCTTTCCTGGGTAAAGAAAGGTGGCCTTCATCTTCTTGGTTCTTTCGGTAAAGTCATGTAGAAGGGAAATAATAAAATAATTAAATAAAACATTATAAAATTATTATCACGACGTTTCGGCCACAACGCAAGCAGCCGTCCTCAGGTGAAGACCAGGTCTGTCATTCAGACGCTGTCTCCCCGACAGACCTGGTCTTCACCTGAGGACGGCTGCTTGCGTTGTGGCCGAAACGTCGTGAGAATTATTTTATGTTTTATTTTATTATTTTATTATTTCCATTCTACGTGACTTTGCCGAAAGAACCAAGAAGATGAATCCCTGCAGTCACGAAAGCTTTAAATCGAAATTTAAAGGTGGCCTTCTTTTGAAACGCCTTTCAGGATACAAGCACCCGAGTGAACCTGTGTATCACTCTGTGCACTCTCCATGGGCAGTTTAGCTTCGGCTCGCGCGACAATCGAGATGGAAGACGCCAACACGCAGGCGAGACCAACACAAAGGTGAATTCTTACATCGAAATTCGATCGCGAATTAAGAAAATTTAATCGCGCGAGGAAGGAGACCTTTGCATTCCTTTTAAACAGCAAGTGGAATGTTTGTTTAGAAACAAATTAAGCTGAATGTAAGCATTGGCAGAAGCTGCAATCGTGCAGCATATCAGCAACATCTACTGCGGATTATTGGCAATAAATCGCCCGTGGAGAAAGCGATAAATTGCGTCTGTCATTTGAGTGAAGAAATACACTTCATCTACGTGTCGTTCCGTCGTTCCAACGCCAGAGCATGGTCAGCAGCAAAGCCACATGAGAGGGGGTGAAGCCGTGTGAACGCCGTGGAAGCAACAGTCCCGGCAGATGCGAGACACGCCACAGAGATGGAGACGGGTCTCAGCAGTGGCCACCGGAGTAGCGGGATGAAACAGACGACACGTGATGCCTCCCGCCCAGTGGCGCGCCCACCGCCTGGGGCCGGGCATCCAGGTCCGGCTGCTCGCAGCGAGCAACCTCCACCCCACGAGGCTTGGGTTCGCACCGACCCGGGGCGCAGACGCCACGGGCGACATCGCCGCCCTCACCGCCACCGCACCAGGTCCGAACGTGACAAGGCGCCCCGGGCGCACGAAAAGAATCTGCACCGCGGCACTGGAACAACCCTGTCCCAGAGCCTCGCGATCCATACGAGCGCAACGCGTCGCAGTCTTTCTTTACGGTGCACTCGTAGAGTTGGGTAAAAACGACGACGTGTCGCGCCCCCCTCAGAGGTTTCACACCGCGGCCGCTCGCTCCCCCGGATCGCCCCCCGTCCCAGGCCGGACCGTGCCGGGCTCCGGGTCGCGTTCTACTCGGCCGCCGCGTGGACCCCGAGACCGAGCCACCGCTTGCGCCAACGAGGAACGCATCCCAAGAGGAGGCACCGGATTTGAAATGTTTTTTTTTTATTTTGAAACGTAATGTGCTAGCGTGTAACGCCAATGCGACACAAGCCACTTTTGTGAAAGAGAACTCGTATCGATACAGACTTTCATCTCGTGGACTTCAAAATAGAACATATTTGTATTTACATAAAACACACGTTATTCTTTAAAATAATCTTTCCATACGAATATTAGAGTGCTGGACGATTGTGCTGATCAGGCAGATTAAACCGGAATTAAAATACGCGACGTCATCGCCGTCGTCATTATCTGCGTCTTTGAACGGTTTCCAAATTAATATTATTTAGGAATCCAATCACGACCCCATCACCCAAGTCCACATTGCGGAGTGTAAACTTCTCACCAGGCCCATTGACAAAAACCTCCAAGAACAATTTGCACGAATGCTTCGCTGCATCTCCACGGCAGCCAAGGCGGGCGGGGGGTCAGACCGCGCAGGAGTCACCGACACCAGGAAACCGGACTCCTCGCCCGCAGCGTTGAGAGACGGAGGCGAGACGGTGATCTGGCGAATTCCGTAGCGTCACCGCGAGTGTCGTGGTGAGGCACGTTCGGCAGGCGAGGCCGCGACGCTCCGTGCCATCTGCACGTTCGAGCCACGGACCGCTGCGGCCTCACGGCCCCCCACCCCGAATCGATATCAAGCGACCGCTGCATATGCGGTCAAACGGCCTGAGGCCCCTCCCCCCCCCCCCCCCCCCCTGCTTGTCGAGCACGCAGAGGAGCTCGGTGGTAGAAATTCCACATTCCTATGGCAGGGGCGGGTGAAGTCAAGGGCATCCACGGTTGATTTCCCACAACCGGATTCGCGCGTTTGTCGATCCTGAAGGGTACAACGGCCGAGTGGGATTAGAGCGGGATTCGAGCTCTCGCGCTCTCGCGACGGGAGGTCACGCGCCGTGGCCCCCGCACTGCGCAGTCGGGAGGTGTTCGGACGTCGCAGACGCACGCATGGGAGGCTTCACCATGTGGGGAACGCTGCCCGACCGCCGGGTCACGTAAGTAGGTTGAACTTCTTTCGCACCGTACGCAGGCGTACCGTGTTAAAATCGGAGGTGCGGAGGGGAAAGACAAAAAACTCAACAAAAAAGCAGTTAAAGAAATGTGATTACAATCTAGATTTAAAGTGCATAACTCCAGTGGCTTCCTAATGTGGGAAGGAAGAGCGTTCCAGACGGGCGCAGAAGCGCATCTGAAAGCACACGACGATGCGGTGATCATATTTGTTTGATGGCGAGCCAAAAGATGCTGCGAGGATGAGTCGAGTTCGCGTGATGCTGGTTTATGCTCCTTGACGAGATCAGCAAGGTACTGTGGTTCATTTGTGACAAGCACTTTGTGTGTAATGAGTGCGACCTTCTAATGTATTCGTTCGGCAACCGGAAGCCAATGCAGCTTGGCGAGCACCGGATGGGCATTGTCAGATCTTGCAGTACCCGTCACGACACGTGTCAAAAAATGTTGTACACGCTGCAGATTGCTAAAGTTTTTGCCAGACGTCCCGTAGAGTAGCGAGTTGCAATAATCGAGCCTTGTCGATACTAAGCTACATGCCACCGTATTGGCTATGTCACGCACAACTCAATCGTGGTCGAATGTGTCATCGAGCTTTGATATTAAAATTACAGGACCTCACCATATTTTGCACATGGTGATCAAACAACATTCAGGTCGAGTATGGTGCCGAGGCTCTTTAGGAGGAGCAGAAAACCGAATCCTGGAGTTTGCAACTGCCACACCGGATGCTCCCACACAATATTTCGAGTGCCAACCGGCAGAACCTCCCAGGGGCCCCAACTCAACGGTGCTTCCCCCGTCTGTAAATAAAGAGTACCTGGCTGTTCACCCACCCCTCACCTATGCACCTGCCTGATCACATACTCAGCTACCAACCCACTCAACACCCAGGAGTAGACTTCTTGTCCCATTCCGCCAGGCGACGACATGAACTTTGTTCGAGGGATTCTCAGCGATCGTGGTTTCCCATCGCACGGATGCTCGTGGAAGACTAAGCAGAAATATTTTCCAATCGATTTAAAATAAAAAATAATGAATTTGAGATGTCCGTCAGAATACATACAAGCACGCAAATGCATCACTCAGCCAGACCACACTGCGCATTCTACAATGACAATAGTTTCCCATCTCTACCCAGGAAACCCATACACGCTTCCAGGAAATCCCAGGCTTATAGCGATGGGGAAAGTCATTTGTCAAGACCGGAGAAACACAATAAGTGATACACGCAATAAGTGATTCACGCAATGAGATTCAAACTCTGATGCAGAGACTGCGGTGCAGCCGCTCGATCGACACGCGCACAACGCACTGCCCGGGTACTGGGCAGCCGTGACTCCATCCCCGCACGTGCCACCAACCCAACCGACCACGCACGCTCCCGGTAAAACTCGTCACGTGACACGCAGGCGATTGCCCTCGAGGATTTTTGGTGCCCTGGAGGCATTTTGGCTACAGCTGTCATTCTAACCCGTCGCTCTGTGCCATCATCGAAGCCAATCACCAACAGCGATGAAGATGACGACGACGCTTGTGCGTTTGCTGTTTAAACGTTCACACCGCGCTTTACAGGAAGCTCACTTCAAGGCGTGCTGAGGAGACCCCATCGACGAAAGGGTTCTGCAGGGTGGACCACTGATGGTGGATATGGTTACCACGGCAACCGTGGGTTACCATGGCAACCATCTCGCAACAACCATGCAGCAGCAAGTCACCAACCCCGTGTGAACAGAATCCACCGTGGTGATGGTTTAACTACAGTAACTTTTTCTCAAGACAACCAACTCAACACACACAGGTTCTTTTAAGTCTCCTTTCCGAGACAACTTTTTTTTTAAGTATATGTACTTATCTGTATATATATAAAACATGTTTCCCTTCCTCCGAAATCCCCACAGCTCGGACAACAATCAAGACGCAACTAAATCAATTGCACATGAATCACGGCGTTAAATCTCAAGTGACGTACGGATAACAAATCCGCCTGCATACATCCAGACATTTGTTCCTCTGCGCGTTGATCTTCCTGCGACTCCACGACCCTCCGGCACGGGACACGGCCCCCCCGCCTCGCGTGACGAGGCATCCGGGAGCGGCGCCGCGCGGTCGAACAGGGGTACCTCTCTCCTCCTCCTCGTCGTCGTCGTCCCCCGAGGAGGGCGTCGCGAGGGTCGAGGGGGCGGTGCGAGCGACTCTCCTCGTTCGCGCGCACGTCACATCTTTGTATTCTCTACGACCTGCGGAGGGGACGACGACGACGCACGGGCACCGAGGTCAAGGGACGGATTCGCCACGGCGGGGAGACGTCGTCGCGTCGCCAGCGGTCGGCGAGCGACTCGGCGCAGCGCGGTTCCCCCAGCGGGCACCGCGTGGCCGCTTCTGGCAGCGCTGCTGTGGACCGACGAGCCAAGTAAAGCCTCACCAGTGTGCTTGGGCTTTACTTTGAAATTAATCAAACAGGAATTCACCAAGACCACCGCCACCATTGATCCAGTCGTTTCTTTTTAAATCAACGTCATTACGATAATCACCGCACGTTCCTTAACCCCGTGTAAAACACTCTCGATCGTGACCATCATTGCCATCACTCCACCAATCACAACCCGTCCACCTTGATCGCTCAAAATCACCACCACCAGCACCAGCACCAGCAGTACCACCACCACCACGTGCATACCGAGCACCGCAGATTGTTGTAATGCCACCGCATGCAAGCAGAGTCTACGAAGACGACCAACCTAAGCATCTCATTGCTCCTCCACGACTGCGGAATCCTCGGGCGGCAGCCCCAGCCCTCGCCAGGGTGAGCCGACCCCTGGAGACAAGCCCTGGGGGTTTGTGGCCAGGGGATCAATGACGCCAGGTTCAAAGAGGGCAGCGCGATCGCGTGCCGGCATCACGTTCCCACGCAGCCGCGGTTCGGCCGCTGGGAAAGCGAGCGCAGGGACCCGACGGTACGCCGTCGGATCCGCGACCCGACGGCAATGGCACCGCTGACTGGCCGACTCAGACTTCAAGTTAAACCTGTCGTAGTCGTAACTATAATAATTATAATTACGACATTAACAAAACGTGCAGAGTTTCTAGTAAATGCCTCGGGAAATCCTCATTTCCCTCGGTAGTTCTAACCCAGTGAAAATAATTCCACATTGTTATGGCGGGGCCCAGTCCATCCTATTGTTGTCCTTCCCCTGCACCACCAATTAGCACAGTTAGCTACGTATGTTGCGAAACAATAAGGTCACTCTTGCAAATGACACATCCTGGTCTCTGGAGTTCTCGCTGAAACAAAAGAAACGGACTTAAATAGACAAATGCTGTGTTTGTGAAGGCCGTCTAAACCCAGACCCAGGCTCACAGTGAAGGCCTCCTGAACCCAGACCCAGGCTCACAGTGAAGGCCTCCTGAACCCAGACCCAGGCTCACAATGAAGGCCTCCTGAACCCAGACCCAGGCTCACAGTGAAGGCCTCCTGAACCCGGACCCAGGCTCACAGTGAAGGCCTCCTGAACCCGGACCCAGGCTCACAGTGAAGGCCTCCTGAACCCAGACCCAGGCTCACAGTGAAGGCCTCCTGAACCCGGACCCAGGCTCACAGTGAAGGCATCCTGAACCCGGACCCAGGCTCACAGTGAAGGCCTCCTGAACCCGGACCCAGGCTCACAGCGAAGGCCTCCTGAACCCGGACCCAGGCTCACAGCGAAGGCCTCCTGAACCCAGACCCAGGCTCACAGTGAAGGCCTCCTGAACCCAGACCCAGACTCACAGTGAAGGCCTCCTGAACCCGGACCCAGGCTCACAGTGAAGGCCTCCTGAACCCAGACCCAGGCTCCCAGCCGTGGCCACTCTGTGCCCTGGCATAGCCATGATGAACCCCTTGAGGCAAGGAGCATTCCAAGGTGAATTGAGGGCCCGAGTTTACACAACAGACTTGCGTTCACGCATTAACACGAGCCACACCCACAGTGTAGATAGAGTTGCTGCTCGTGTGTCTGCTGATGGTATTTTTAACAAAGTATCTATTTCCTATACCCGCTACGAGCGAGCGAAGCGATGGGAGAGAAGAGCGGACTCACCATCGGCGCGGGGCTCCTGGGCTCCGGGTAGCACCCTCCGTTCTCCACGGGATGCGCGTGTTTGTCCTCCTGGAGGCAACATCGTCCGTCCGTTACCAGAACCTCACTCGCGGTGCTGTGCGTAGCGCTGTCGAGTGCTGCGTGTGTACATATGAAGAACTTCATTCATATTCTGCATGGCCAACCGTGTTACGTAGGAGGGTACGGGGGGGGGAAGGACAACAAACTGGCATGCTGGCTGCGCGGTGTGCCGTCGGTGCCAGCGTGCGCTCACCCGTCCGTCGGCCATGTGGTTGTGCGCGCCAGGCGGTGTGGCGAGCGCCGGTCTGCTGTGCAGCGCGTCTTGGCGCTGGCAGTGGGCCACCGCGTCGGGGACGCTCAGGAAGAGCTGCGCTTTGCTGGAGGGCCCACTCAGGAAGCCGGTTCGCTCCAGCTGGGTCACCACCACCGCTGGCGGCACACAAAGACAAAGATCCCCCGTGTCCAAGTGCCGTCAGCGCGGAGCACCTGCGAAGGCCGGGACGGCGGCGCACGAGGGGGTGGTGTGGCCGGCACCATGCCCGGCTAGCCAGGTGCTCTTTTAAGGCCAAGTTGAGCTACGGGATGTCCAGGAATTGTTCTGATATCTTTCGATTTAAAGCTTTCGTGACTGCGGTGAATCATCTTCTTGGTTCTTTCGGTAAAGTCACGTAGAAGGGAAATAATAAAAGAATAAAAATAGAACATAATAAAATAATTCTCACGACGTTTCGGCCACAACGCAAGCAGCCATCCTCAGGTGAAGAATAGGTCTGTTCTTCACCTGAGGACAGGCCTGTTCTTCACCTGAGGACGGCTGCTTGCGTTGTGGCCGAAACGTCGTGAGAATTGTATTTTATTCTGTTTTATTTTGATTACTTTATTATTTCCCTTCTACGTGACTTTACCGAAAGAAACAAGAAGATGTTCTGATATCGTTTGCCACTGATGTTAGCCGTGGCCAGGAGTCAAACCCAAGTGACGATGTTTGTGCGCTAAACACTGGGCCACCGCTCCCCGGACAGATAGACTCACGAGTTGACCACCAAATCTAGCAAAAGGTTGGGTGCGAGTTTGTGCGTGTATTTGAGAGTGGGTGCGCGAGTCGTGCAGGTGCGTGCGTGCGTGAACGTGGGTGGCGAGTTGTGTGCGCTAGGTCTGGTCCCGGGCATTCCTCCTTAACTTCAAGGTGAACAGAAACAACAGCGGGCGCGTCACACGTGCACTTAATCCGTTTGGTCGTGTCGAGTAGGGGAGGGCCAGATCATCGCGTGGCCCAACCCAATACGCGACCACGACTCGTAGCTCTGCACGCTGCCCGAACCGAGCATTGGATGTCCCCAGGCGTGCGCCCCAACTGGCAGTAACCGTTCAGAGGTGCGCCGAGTGAACTGGGTGAGCGTGCGAGGGAGCAGGCGCGTGACGTACCTCGACAACCAGCCAGGCACACTTGCACTCCCACCTCCTTGTGCTCTTGGAATATCTGTAAGAGAAAGAGCACGCACCGTGTCACAGAGGTCGCAACCGGGTACCCGATACCCGTACCCGGCTACCCGTACCCGGCCGGGTCACTTATTTCAGGTAGGGTACGGAATGCTCCTTGCCTCAAGGGGTTCATCATGGCTATGCCAGGGCACCGAGTGGCCACGGCTGCGAGCCTGGGTCCAGGTTCAGGAGGCCTTCACTGTGAGCCTGGCTACGGGTTCAGGAGGCCTTTCTCTGGGCGTCTGGGTTTAGACGGCCTTCACAAACACATTTGCGACCCTGGAGCGGCCGGGTACGGGTACGGGTAAGGAATCAAAACCTGTTTGCGACCTCTGCCGTGTCATCATCAGGCTACCATACGAGTTGGTGGAGCGCATAGAATGTTGGGAAACTCCTTTCCCGTGGGCGTCGTGGAGGAGCAGTACCCTGGCTCGCCAGGAGACGGCGGTACGGCAACATGCGGACTAAAATCCCCTCCGTACGGGATAGAGCGTTGCCCCCTCGCACACGTAGGTTCTCGCCGGTAGCTCCCGTTTCCTCCCACACATATTAAAACTTCAAAACACGTTCATACACAGATGACGGCAGAGCTTGGGCAATTGTTGTTAGCACCGGCTCACCGCCTGGTTTGCTGCCTTCCTGTTCATCTGTGATACCTCAGCCTTTGTGAGTTGTAATTTTCATCAACGCCTGGGCATATATAAAACTAAAAACCAGTATTTTTACATTATGTAAATCAGATTACGCACTGAAACGTTCGCGTTTCTTGCCGCTGGTCAGGAGCCAAGACGTTTAGGTCCATTAAGAACCTTCAAGGAAAAAGAGGCGACCCAAACCACTAAGAGCGAGTAATTAGGAGGTACACGCCCGAGCCGTGCGGCATCACGGAATGTGGGCCTTGAACAAGCTTGCACACGCTCGCTCTCGCACACGCAACGACCACACAAAGATCCCCTGTATAACCTGTCAAAGACTGTTGGAGAGAGTGCTAATGGCGAGCAACGCCTATGAAAGCCGGAACGGTACGTGTTGGGGTGGGTGGCCAGCACCACGCCCGGTCACACACACACACTTACTCACTCACACAGACAAAGACAAAGACCCCCCGTATAGCCTTAACAGACTGTCGGGGCAAGTGCTGTTAGCGAGCACCTATGAAGGCCGAAACGGTACACGCCCGACCGCATTTGTCTCCCCAGTGCCAATGTTTACACACCACACCAGGGAGTCATTTCAGGCTGAGTCGACCTAGGGGAGGCCCAGGACCGGTTCAGATAATCGTCACTGGTGTTGGCCATGAGCGGGAATTGAACCCGGGTCGTCAGGTTTATAGCGCAGCGCGCTAACCGCTACACTACCGCTCACTCACACACATTCTCACTCACACACACTCACACACACTCACACACACTCACACACACTCACACACACTCACACACGGCCCGGTGAGCGTACGTACCCTCTTGAGCATCTTGACCCCGGGCGTGTCCACGAAGGTCACGGCGCCAAAGTCGAGCACGAGGAAGCGGTACGCGGTCGTGGTGAGGCCCTGCTCCTCGCCCTCCTCCAGCGGGAGCACCACATGCCCCGCCTCGGCGCAGTCCTGGCACGCACGCACGGCACAACAACGCCCCGGGGCTCAGAGCAGAGCACTCGCCTCACCGCAGCCGCACCACAGCCTCACCCCGCGGCGTCAGTGGGGCCAAATTGAATTGCCACGTTGGCCACCCAGCAGAGGTCGCAACCGGGTACCCGATACCCGTACCCTACCCGATACCCAGCTACCCGTACCCAGCCGGGTAGCTGGGTATCGGGTAGGGTACGGGTACGGGTAGCCGTTTGCGACCCTGGTGCGGCCGGGTACGGGTACGGGCAGGCCGTGAGTCACCGGTGAGTAACCGTTTGTCACTCATTTCGGGTAGCGTACGGGTACCCATACCCGGCCAGGTACGCGTACGGGTACCCGTTTGCGACCCTGGTGCGGCCGGGTACGGATAAGGAATCAAAACCCGTTTGCGACCTCTGCCACCCAGGTGACTCTTGCACACGAGGCTTCGTTGCCGTCTCCCAGGTTCTCATGCGGTCAAGCTAAACCGACGTACGCAGCAGCGCGTGCGCGCACTGCCAAGCGTCGATTCCTGCAGGCACGACGCACGCATCACGAGCGTGAGAATCGATTGCGAAAGCCGAATCTCCCCCCCCCCCACTCCCCACACGCGGCTGATGCTGCGACTGATGCTGCGACTGATGCTGCGGCTGTTGCCCCGTGGCGGCGAGTGGGAGGCCGCCCGAGGTCCTCACCAGATTTAGCGTGGCGCTCTTGGCCTCCGTGCCGGCTTCGCGACGCCGCTTGCGCTCCAAGCGCTGCTGGTGCGCGAGGAACCTCTTGCGCACGGCGATCAGCGACCGGGGGTCCAGACCGGTCTGCGTGTGGACACACACAGACACACACGTACACGTTAACACACACACACACACGCGTTAAAACACACACACACGAACACAAAGAACACAAACACAAAGAACACACACACTCATGTGTGAACACACACACAAACGCGCACACAAACGCGCACACAAACACGCACACACAAGATCCCCCGTATAGCCTTAACAGACTGTAGGGGCAAGTGCTGTTAGCGAGCACCTATGAAGGCCGGAACGGTACCCGAGGGGGTGGGTGGCCAGCACCACGCCCGACCGCCTTTGTCTCCCCAGTGCGATGTTTACACACCACACCGGGTACTCATTTCAGGCTGAGTCGACCTAGGGGAGGCCCAGGACCGGTTCAGATAATCGTCACCGGTGTTGGCCGTGAGCGGGAATCGAACCCGGGTCGCTAGGTTCATAGCGCAGCGCGTTAACCACTACACTACCGCACACACACACGCGTGAACACACACAACAAAGAACACACGCTAACACGCACACACAAACACGCACACACACACACAAACACGCACACACACACCACACACCAACCGCAAAGAACACACACACGCACGCGTTAACACACACGCGAGAACCCCGAACCCTCAGCGGTATCGGCTCAATGCTCAGACTTCCGAGCAACATGGCCACCTATTTGTTTTTGTTCATGGCTAAAGTTAATTCTCAAGCCGTTGGAAAAAAAAATAACAGAATGGAGAAATAAGAGGAAATGAAACTGACGGAGGACAGCCCCACCTTGCTGATCAGCGCCTCCGTGTACATATCCGCGTTGGCGAAGTAGAGCGACGCGTTGGTCTGGAATATCCTGATCCCGGGAATCTCCTTCGCCTGGCACACGTGACAAGAGAGGCGCTGCGTTCACGCGCGCTGCCGACACTCGCCGCACACCGCACGGCAAACAGCCCCGGGGCATTCACCGCGCTTCGTGGACACAAGCCGTCAAATATCCTCGCTTCCATGAGTGCGTGTCCTTACTTCCGCGTATTCTTTGAGGTCCAGGTAGATGTCGGTGTTGGGGATTTTGCCCAGAATCGAGTACTTGGGCCTTGGAACGGCAGCAGGGCGTGGGATCGGGACATGGGAGGGGTGGCACACAAACATCGCCTTTCACAACGGCACGCGGTCGATTCCGGCGCAGCTTCCTTGCGTTTCGTGTCGAACGGGTCCCATCGTGCAAGTGGCAGCTCAGCCGAAGCAATGATTGGTGGTGGTGGTGATGATATTGTGAACTTAAAACGTGCCACCACGTAGCATTCGCTCGCTCTCTGAGAGAGAGAAAGGACGACTCGGAGGCGCCAGGAGGAGGAACCACAGACGAGTGGGAAGGCAGCCACACAGCCGGTGGCAACAATTGCCAAGCTCTGCGGTTCTCTTCTTATGAAAGTGTTATCCGCCAATTAATGAGCGTTTACACGTGGGTGGAAGCCGGAGTACCCAGAGAAAACCCACACGTGCGAGGGGGAAACACTATCCCGTACAGACGGAACGGCTGGAGTCTTTGCCTTGCTGCGTTCTCCTGCAGAGCCAGGGTACGGCTCTTCCTCAACACTCACGGGAAGGGAGTTTCACAGCATCTGTGTGACCCATCAACCCTCACCACCTCCACCGTGCTGGATCACAGGTGAGCGCCTGCTAGTGGCAGTGGTAGTTGATTATGGTGATGACGGTGGTGGCGGTGGTAGTGGTTTCCGTGGTGGTCATGAAGCACACACGACCAATGCCACCACAAGCCCCATCATCCCTCCGCCGTCGTCCCATGCCGCAGATCGACGCCAGTGCTGTGCGTGCACACCGTAGGCTACCAGCGTGCCATGCCCGCGCAGATGATCCGCTGGTGCTCACGTTTGGGTGCGGATGACGACGCTGAGCAGAGCAAACGACACTGCGACGGCCAGGCCCAGGTCCAGCCCCAGCAGCACGGACGCCCAGAAGGTCACCATCCACATGGCCTGCGACACGCAAGGGACGACGAACCGCTCTGTAGCCACACAGACCGCCTCCGCAGGAGAAGCGCCTACAAAGGCCGGAGCGGCTCACAAGTGGGTAGTGTAACCAGCGCCATGGCTGCCCAGACACCTTTGTCTCCCCAGCACCACACTTGAAGAGTCACCTTTTCGAAACTGATTTGTTTATCTTCCCCCCCCTCCCCCCCCCGGTTTCATCCCTGTTCTGTTTTCAGGGTCATGGGTAGAAAAATCCGTGACCTTTACGTGAACTCTGGTCCACACACTCGGGGGCAGCCATTTCCCAGCCCTGACCTGCGGCAGAGAGGAGCGTTCCTCGTATGGCGGTTAAACTGCCGTGCTTAATTCTCGGAGCTGGAATTGAGCCACATTAAGTGCGATTTTTATTTGTGTCCTGTCCTTGATGACCATCAACTGGGGTACGGGCAACCAAATGGACACGAGCCCAGGATCTCCGCGGTGTCAGCTCCGACCTCTGACCCACATGGCCACTGCACTGGGTCATCATCTTTCCCTGAACTGCCACGGGGAGGCTCAAACCCAGTTGGATTTTCATTGGCTATCGGTGGTGATGTCGTACATCGCTGCCAGGAACCAATCTCCGGTCGGATGAATCGCAGTGCTGACGTGGAGTTGTGTATCATCAACGTGCGCGCGCGCACTGTCCCAGCTGTGCCACATGAATAGATGCACGTGGTCAAATGTGTGCCACGTGAATAGATATGCGTCGTCAAATTACACACCCATCATATATCCTGCTTGCACAAACACACACGCTTGTACGAAGACAAACGTCGCTGAATAGACACAGCCCAGGCAGGTGGTGTTAGAACAGGCACACGAGCGGTGCAATGAGTTCTAGATTTGAAGCTTTCGTGACTGTAAGGATTCATACTCTTAGCTCTTTCGGTAAAGTCACGTAGGTAAAAATTTTGCATTGTTTTATTTTTATTAATTTAAATTTCATTTTTTACCTACGTGACTTTACCGAAATAACTAAGAGTACGGTGCAATGAGGCCAATACCAGCGCACGCTCGGGCACCTTGTCCCCCACCCATCGACTTTTGACAACGCCACTTCACCGCGTTCCCATAGCTAGGGGGAGAGACCCACGAGGGGCAGAGATTTCAGCACCCCCCCCCTCCACCAGCAATGGGCATCACGAGGTGCATCGCTTCGGTATTCCCCGATCGGCTGGTGCGGTGGAAGTGAAACCAAATCGCCCAATTGGGATCACACGGCAGCAATCATTGCCCCCTGCCGGCAGACTCGTGCCCCGGGTCGCTATTGCGAACGAGACGATCGTGGTGTCCCGAGTTAATCGCCAGGTTAAACAAAATCAACTCGCACACTCTCGTAGTGTTTCTGGAGGGGAGGGGAGCCGCTCACCAGGTCGATGCGACAGGTTCTCCACAGCTGGGGCACGTCGGCGAACTGTTTGAACATCCCCTTGAGGTTGACGAGAACGACAGCCGCCAGCGCCGCCTGCCCCGAGCACACGCACAATGACTCACGCACGCACAATGACTCGCGCACGCACAATGACGCACGCACGCACAATGATGCAGGCTCGACGACTCGTACAGCGCACGTGCTTACAGATCCCCCCCGGAGCCTTCACGGACCGTTGGGGCAAGCGCTGTTGGAGCAGCGCCTATGACGGCCGGCACAGCAGCCCACTTGCTGCGCTGCCTCATTTGGCACGAGCCTCACAGCCTCTGGCTAGAGGGGCCGGGGGAGAGCCACCTTACCCTGGGCAGGGGCCGGAAGAGGCTGCTGATGGCCAGAATTACGATGAGCACCAACAACGCCGACACCAGACCGGCCACCTGCAAAGACGGCGCGGAGTTAACCCGGTGGGCACGGGCGTCAATAAGTCAGTGTAAATGAATTCTGTACAAGTTATAGATTTAGTATGCGTGCATACGTGTCATCAATGCTTTTGCTATACGTGCGTGTATGTGCGCAAGTGGACTCGAGTTGATTCTGGCTCACGGCCAACAATAATGGATGTACCTGCGTTTGCCCTCCCGTCGCGTCCTGCACCAGGCTCCGCGACATGGCACAGCTGATGGTGAACGAGTGGAAGATCGACCCGAAAATGTTACTCAGGCCGATGGCGACCAGCTCCTGCAGGCGCACACAGATACAGATACAGACGTGCACACACAAACAGATATAGATCAAAGATCAAAGATCCCCCGAATAGCCTTAACAGACTGTAGGGGCAAGTGCTGTTAGCGAGCACCTATGAAGGCCGGAACAGTACACGAGGGGGTGGGTGGCCAGCAACCACGCCCGACCGCCTTTGTCTCCCTAGCGGCGATGTTTACACACCGAACTAGGTACTCATTTGAGGCTGAGTCGACCTAGGGGAGGCCCGGGACCGGTTCAGATAATCGTCACTGGTGTTTGCCGTGAGCGAGAATCGAACCCGGGTCGCCAGGTTGGTAGTGCAGCGCGCTAACCGCTACACTACCGCTCGCACACAGAGCGCACGCACACACACACACAGGACAGACGCACAAGTATTACTCCACCACAACTTGCCACACAATTGGCATACGCCCTTGACCACAGGAGGGGGAGCTGGGCAGGGATTGAAGGCGTCATCATGATCATCGTCACACGTCACACTATGGCGGGATAAGCGGAGTGCATGTGGCAAGTACACTGAGTAGTGTGTATCCTACATGGTGTGCTGGTTGGAGTGCTGGTGGAGTGCTGGTGGAGTGTTGTGTGGAGTGTTGTGTGGAGTGTTGTGTGGAGTGCGCCACTCACCTGGTTGCTGTCGATGTTGTATCCGTGCTTGAGGGCGAACGTCTTGCCCATGGAGATGGCGATGGAGAAGCCCACGATGGCCAAGGTGATGGCGTCCACCACCACCTTGCCAAACAGAGCGAACGGTGGGGCCACCGGGGGCTTCAGGCTGCAGCGCGCGAGTGGGCACGCACGCACACAGACAGACACGCAGCACAACGTACAGACACGTGTACACGCGCACACACAGAGACACATACAACCACAACACGCAAACACAATCACACACAATCACAATAAGCAGACACGCACCAATACAGCAATGCGTGCAGACACACGCACGAAAATACAAAGATCCCCCATATAGCTTAAACAGACTGTTGGGGCAAGTTCTGTGAGCGAGCACCTATGCAGGCTGGCACAGCACACGAGGGTGTGGGTGGCCAGCACCACGCCAGGCTGCCTTTGTCTCCCTAGTGGTGACGTTTATACACCGCACCAGGTACTCATTTGAGGCTGAGTAGGCCTAGGGAAGGCCCAGGACCTGTTCAAAGAATCGTCACTGGCGTTGGTCACGTGCAGGAATAGAACGTTGTTCACTTGGTTGTGTAGTGCAGCGCACGAACCACTGCACTAACGCTCCCAACACAACACAACTGCCGTCACCATGACACCTGTGCCAGGCCAGGTGCACCCCGAGGTCACGCGAAGTATCCATGGCTCGCTGCTAGCAGGGTTATGGGACAGACCCAGGTGTTACGGGTTGACTGAGATGACTGGCAGAGGCATCACCACCGTGCGTACAGGCGCACACGAGTGCGTCCGTACGTGCCGGCGCGCACACAAAGATCCCCCGTATAGCCTTAACAGACTGTAGGGGCAAGTGCTGTTAGCGAGCACCTATGAAGGCCAGAACGGTACACGAGGTGGTGGGTGGCCAGCACCACGCTCGACCGCCTTCGTCGGTTTAGATAATCGTCACTGGTGTTGGCCGTGAGCGGGAATCGAACCCGGGTCGCCGGGTTCATAGCGCAGCGCGCTAACCGCTACACCACCGGCGCGCACACACACACACATACACACCCAGTGGGAATGTCTCCAATGATGTCCACCGCATACTTCTCGTTGAGCTCCAGGCCACTGGACGCGAGCGTGGCAAGTACAACCTAGGCCACGCGACCACACAGGGACGCGAGTGAGGACGCGGCGAGTCTCCCGCGCGTGCCCCGTGCCAAGCCGACCGTTTGCAAATCACCCGGAACGCACGCCATCTCACTCGAGCTCAGAGGCTAAGCGGGTTTGAGCCCGGACAGTGCCGACAGGCAACGGCCTGCCCAACAGGCTGTCATCAGGCTGCATCTTAGACAGCAGAGGGCGGTGCGGTAAAATCCACTGTCGTGCTATACTTCTATGCTTTTACATCTTTTCTGCTGGTCCTCAACCCTCCCTGATAAGCGTGGTGAAGTATGGTCACATTAATTTGTTTTAAAAACAAGGTGAGAATTAATTTGCAACAGTGACCCGAAATAATCAACAGGGTCAAATAATCTTCTTGGTTACTAATAGGGTTTTTCCCCTTTTTTCTGGCAATCTTCTTGGTTCTTTCGGTAAAGTCACGTCGAAGGGAAATAATAAAATAATAAAAATAAAACATTCAATAATTCTCACGACGTTTCGGCCACAACGCAACAGGTCTGTCGGGAAGACAGCGCCTCAAATAACCCCCACGGACCCTCACGGCTTGGGTCAAAGCGGCGTACGTGCGCGCCATATAAACGACGCTTCAAACCTCGCATCAACGGCCCGCCACGCGCACACGTCACCGCACGAGGGGGGCGGCTGGGGGTGGGGCCGTCGGCGTGGCGACCAGCCCCGCGAGAGCCCCTCACTCCCACCACCACCACAAAGCCGTACCAGGATGAGCTCCAGCGGGATGGGCGCGGGCAGGCGGTTCCTGTAGCGGTCGCCCAGCTCCTTGCTCCCAGCGAGGCCCACGGTGCAGATGACGCACAGCAGGAGCGACACCAGGTTGGTGTGGCCCAGACGGGAACAGAACTCTATCGTGGTCTGCTCACACAAAGACAAACGTCCCCCAAGATATAGACTTCTACAGATTGTTGGAGGCGGGTGCTGTTAACGGGCACTTGTTAAGGCCGGGCATGGCACACGTGGGGGAGGTGGGCCAAAACCACAGCTGTCCACCTTTGTCTCCCCAATGCTGATGTTTAATACGCACCGTGCCAGGTACTCGTGCAAGGACCGAATCAACCTAGCGGAGACCCAGGATTGGTTCACATTCAAACAGACGCCCCCATATGCACAAATAAAGACAAAGATCCCCCGCATAGCCTTCAGACTGTTGAGATAAGTGCAGTTATCGAGCGGCACCTATTAAGACCGGAACGGCACACGAGGTGGTGGGTGGCCAGCACCACGCCCGGACGCCTTTGTCTCCCTAGTGGCGATGTTCACACACAGCACCAGGTATTCATTTGAGGCCAAATAATCGTCACTGGTGTTGGCTCGCCGGGTTTGTAGGTCAGCGCGCTAACCGCTGCGCCACCGCTCCCCCACCGCTCCCCACACCAGATACACACTCGCACACAGCCGCACGTCGCACGCACGCCTGCTTACGTATACGATGGCCAGGGGCCCGCTGTAGCGCGAGACGCTGACGCCGAACATGTACTTGAACTGGGTGACGCACACGTGGATGGAGCAGGCCGTGGTGAAGCCACGCACCATGGGCTCGGAGAGGTACGTCGCCACCACTCCGAACCGCAGCATACCCAGGGAGAGCTGCCGTCACGGGGTGCACGGGGGACAGATGCAGCGTGGGGGGGTCATGTTATTATGCGCTGCAGTGATAAAATGTGGGTAGTAAGGTGAAAACATTCTTATGACCACCAACATCTGACCAGCGGTGGCCACCGACAGCTTTCCCTAGACAACACTGGTCAACAAAAAAAAAAAAATTCTGGCCTGGACTTTTGCAGCTGTTCTAGACTAATTTCAGGGTGCTGATTCCAAATCTGATCTCAGATTTGCTCTATCACATCTCATTTTATGCTATCGGCATACCCCATTTTCATTGATTTTACCCGAAATTAACTCTGTCACTTATAATTGCAAGTTGTTGCGAGTCAGTGACTGCTTTAGTGTTAAAATATGGTGCTGTATTTTTAGGATAGTGTGTTTATAATATAATTTTATGTAGAAATCCACGTTTATTTAATATTATTCTTCTGCAGTTTTTATTGAAAATTCAATATTTGATATCTCTGATGTGATAGACAAAAACTGATGCCAGATTTGGAATCAGCACCCCAAAATTACCTTAAAACCGTTGGAATACCTTATGCCAGAAAAAGTGTGTTGACCAGTGCAATAGACTTACAGCCCAGTCTCTGACCAGGTCTTTATATAATAGACTGACCAGCAGCGCGGTGCGTGCCGCGGTTGCGTGCCGTGGTTGCGGGACACACCTGGAAGATTCCACAGAGGAACGTGACGGCGATGGCGACGGAGACACGTGCCTGGTCGCGTGCTGCCACGTCGATGCCCTCCAGGGACAATCGCATGCTGCTCAGGGTCTGGTTGGTGCCCGTCAAGTTTGCCGGCGGCAGGAGGAAGTCCTCGTCCGGCGCCACGCGCTCCGTCACGTCGCCCACCATGACGCTCAGCACCGCGAACGTGCCTGACAAAGGTCACCCCCATAGTCTCAACAGGCTGTTGGGACAAGTGCCGTTACGCGAGCACCTGGGAAGGCTGGCACGGCAGACGTGGCGGTTTGCGAGAACCCGGTTCATATAATTGTCATTGGTGTTCGCCGTGAGCAGGATTCGAACTCGGGTCGCCGGGTTGGCAGCGCAGTGCACTAAGCGCATAACACGCCCACGCGCGCACACACACGGACACACGCCAGAGTAACAACTGCAGTGACGCGGTCCAGCGGTAACGCGTTCGCCGCTCGTTGCAGAGGTTCGCGGTTCAAACCCAGCGGCCGCCCTAGTTAATAACACAGGTGTATTAACCATAATAACACTACGCTGCTGTCTGCTTCACTCACAGTGGACATTATATATTGCCCGACGTCATTCGCAAGAGTACGCCATCGTGCGCCGGCATCGGGCTCCAAATTTGCCACATTCGATAAATTACTCAATTGGGACCAAGGCCCCCTACAGACATCAGAGTAATGCTCCAGGTGACTGTTGCACCCTGATCTATTGCGTTCTCACCTAGATATACGGATTCAACTTGAAATGTGAATTCTCGGCCTCGCTTCCGCACTAACCAATGGAGATGTGATGAGATGTTCCGAGGAAGAAATAGACGAGCATTGGGTAGAAGGAGGCGTAGAGGCCATAGATGGGAGGTACTCCGGCCAGCAGAGCGTACGCCATTCCTGGAACGACAAAGATCACCCGTATAGCCACAACAAATTGTTGGGACAAGTGTAGTTAAGCAAGCATCAGTAAAACCCAGCAACGCCAACATCAATACGATACGATGTACATTCACGTAGCAGCATCTAAATGCAACCGCATCTCCAGATGCCGCGTGGAGTGAGGGGGGGGGGAACTAAAACGTGAACACAAATGGGGTCGTAAGTGTTGACTTGAACAAGGGCAGCAGCAGTGTCAACCGCACAGAGGAGTTCAAGAAGAAGAAAATTCCAGACCCCAGGAGCAGAAGCCGAATCGGAGTGACCTTCCACGGAACTATCAACAACTGACCGTCAACAACTGACGTTCATCTTAATATTCCTCGGGGTGTGCCGGTGGTCTTTAAGAGTTGGCCAGATACAGTGCAGATTAGCGACCGACATATTTTTTTTTTCAATGAACAGAACCCAACGAAGATCTCAATGAATATCGAAAACGCGTCACTGAGAGGGCAGCCAATCAATGAAAGGCAGAGGAGGAGAGGCTTGGAGGGGGCCACGAGTGAGAGAGTGAGCGCAGCCACCCACCCTGCGGTAACTGGATGACACCGGTGCTGATGCCGGCAAAGATGTCTCCCAGAAACCACTCGCGCAGACGGTAGCGCGGCAGCCATGACAGCACGGGGAAAGCCAGCTTCATCCGGGCGCTCAGGTCCGCGCGAGAGCAGCTGCAAACACAAAGACAAAGATCCCCCGTATAGCCTTAACAGATTGTAGGGGCAAGTGCTGTTAGCGAGCACCTATGAAGGCAGGAACGGCACACGAGGGGGTGGGTGGCCAGAACCACGCCCGACCGCCTTTGTCTCCCCAGTGGCGATGTTTACACACCGCACCAGGTACTCATTTCAAGCTGAGTAGACCTAGGGGAGGCCCGGGACCAGTTCAGATAATCATCACTGGTGTTGGCCGTGAACTCGGGTCGCCAGGTTCGTAGCGCAGCGCGCTAACCGCTACACTACTGCTATCCACACATGCACGCACACATACACGCGCACAGTTGCCTATGGTTAGCTACGTACAATACGAAAGAAGTTCAACATACATACAGACACACAGACGCGCACGCACACGCACGCACACACACACACAAACGCATGGAAGCACATAAACGCACAGACACGTGCGGACACATGAAGCCACGTACAGGCACACACAAGTACAAACTTGTTACATTTTCAGATGGCAAAAGTGACTCGCAAGGGCTATTGAGGTCAAGAGGTGTGGAGATGGCACTGGGCCACGTCTTGCCATCGCTCATACCCTTCTGCCAGATTTCACAACCGTTGTCGAGTCAACGACTTACCTTCACAGCCTGCTCTTACAGCACCCCATACTTGTAAAGCCGTTTACGGACGAAGGTTTCTTACCCTCGTCAACAAATAAAAACAAAGAGCCGGTTTCAGGTCTGGGTGCCACCCCGAGGCCTGTCTGGGTAGCCTGCCCACCTTTATAATGCGCGTGTTTTGGGCAGCGTGAAGTTTAAACAAAAGTTTGAAACAAAACCTAGGAATTCTTGACATTCTTTCATCGCTAATCCTGCCCGAAGGCGATACAAATCTGAGCACCGGTAGGGGAGAACTGTACCGTACAAATGGTGGCGACTGATGCACGGGGGGTTTAGTGAACACATGTGCGGTGCCCATCCAAAGCACAAGAGACCGAGCCGGGCAAAGGTTACATTTCCCGGTATGGTAACGAGTATCTCAGTGGTTCCGAGAACAACATTTGACATTAACAAAGCGCAGAATGAAATTTCAGGGAGGAGCGGTGGTGCGGCACCTGGCGCACTACGCAATGAACCCAGTGAGCAAAGGTCAACTCCTGGTGACGGCTAATATCAGTGGGGGGGGGGGGGGGGGGATATCGGAAATGGCCCCAGGTCCTGATCACCCTCACCAATTCGCACTGGCCACGGTCAAACAATCCCCATGACTGATACAGCGTGAGGAGGCCTTCATCCAGCAGTGGATTGGCAAGGGGCAGCGACTGCGTTCTCACTAACCGCGTCTCGAGACGCCGTGCCGTGGTGGAGATCGCACGAGGTCGCAGTGACAACCGGGATGATTCGTCCATCTAGTAACGGACAATTGTAAATCACTCAGCCCTCTAAAACTCACGGTCACACCCAAGCCACACCTGTTGATGCCGTTACCGTCACCAAGCCGCTGGGCGATAATGCGCTGGCGTCCCTGATCCAAATGTCAAATTCTTAAATTACCCGCAAATTTCTCAAAATTGCGACAGCCGTGATGTCTGCTGCTGGCATCAGTTTTTGTCCATCACATCAGGTTTTTGAGATCAAATATTGCATTTTCAATAAAAACTGCAGAAGAAAAATATAAAATAAATGTGGATATCTACATAAAATGATATTATAAACACACTATCCTAAAAATACAGCACCATATTTTAACACTAAAGCAGTCACTGACTCGCAACAACTTGCAATCATAAGTGACAGAGTTAATTTCGGGTAAAATCAATGAAAATGGGGTATGCCGATAGCATAAAATGAGATGTGATAGAGCAAATCTGAGATCAGATTTGGAATCGGCACCCTGAAATTAGTCTAAAACAGCTGCAAAAGTCCAGGCCAGAAAAAACTGATTTTTTTTTTGTTGACCAGTGTTGTCTAGGGAAAGCTGTTGGTGGCCACCGGCGGTCAGATGTTGGTGGTCATAAGAATATTTTCACCTTACTACCCACATTTCATCACTGCAGCGCATAATAACATGACCCCCCCCCACCCCCCCCACACTGCGTCCGTGCCCCGTGCACCCCGTGACGGCAGCTCTCCCTGGGTATGCTGCGGTTCGGAGTGGTTGCGACGTACCTCTCCGAGCCCATGGTGCGATAGAGCAAATCTGAGATCAGATTTGGAATCAGCACCCTGCAATTAGTCTAAAACAGCTGCAAAAGTCCAGGCCAGAAACATTTTTTTTGTTGTTGTATTCAATTAACCGGAAGCCGTCCCCGGCCGAAAGCGCGATGCAGAGCAACGCTGGGGATGCCGCGACTCACTGCACGCAGGAGAACAGGCGCTCCCGCAGCGTGGGCGGCGGGTGCTCCGCCCGCATCGCCAGCCCCTCCAGGTCCGCCTGGCTCATCGGATGGCGCGCAGAGCCCTCCGTGGACCGCCCTCCCAGCTCTCGCTGCCGCGGCAGCGACCCGTCGCTCAGAGCCATCGCGGATCCGCGAGCCGGCGTCGTGGTCCAATCGGTTCAGTAGCACGTCCTACTTTGGCCAACGCTACACACAACAACGCGCAACAGAGGAGGGAGAAAACGTATAACTTAGTACATTTGGTATTCGCGCCATTGTTCAAGCGCACGGCCGTCACGCAGGAAGGCGTCGGTGTGTTTCACGAGAGACGCGCAGTCTGCAGTCGTTGCACAGCCAGGGTTGATGTTGCCGTGTATTATCCCAATTCAGTAATGTGCCGTGTCATTTTTCAAATTCGAAAAATTTGGACCAAGATGCCGGTACACAATGGCCTTCTCTTCTCAAATTACGTCACGGGATCCTCCACGTCAGCTGTGACGCAGACGGCGCGTAATATCTTAAGGTTATTACATCCGCAGTGTTAACCAGGGCAGCCTGCCGGATTGGAACCGCGGTACTCTGCAGCAAGCGGCAAACGCGCGGCCGTTGGGGCACCGCTCCTCGCACATCGTCACCACCACCACAACCACCACCACAACCGCCACCACAACCACCACCACCACCATAACCTCAGCACCGCTCCCGCACATCACCACAAACACCACAACCACCACAACCTCAGCACCACTCCCACACGTCGCCACCACCACCATGGAGTCGGTGTGGGAAGAGCTTTCATCTAGTCGTGGATAGATAAGCGCTGACTATGATTGTAATGATCATGAGGATGATCATCATCATTTATTTAAATACTCATTCAATAAACAAAACACAATTAGGTACGTCGAGAAAAAGGCCTGCAGCAATGTTTCGCCGCAGGGCGCGTTTGGACTTGCATGCGTCCCGTCACAGGCCCGCGGCTGATCAATGTGATTCTGCAGAGGTGGTGGATGTGACAAAAAAAGCCCTTCACAAACGCCATCGCAGCAGCCGCAGCAGCACCACTACCTGCCCTCTGGGTGAGCTTTTGACCGCCGTGTCTTTAGCTGATGCCCTTAACCGGCGTATAATGAAACTAGGTTCTGAAGTATACATACAGACCATGGTCACCAATGAATGCACAAAAACCAAACCACATTCGTTCGGGTTTTTCATTTAAATCTACAGATTTCCGCAGTGAAAATAATGATTTCCATGAAGCAGGTCGGCTCCGACGATAAAGCCCGCACCGGCTAGTGTGGGTAAGATGGGCTATTGAAGAGACATATTCTTAGGTTTTTTCGGTAAAGTCACGTGCTGTGACGGTTCCACCTGAAGCTTGTGTTGCCTCCGAAACGTCGTGATTTTTATTTTATTTTTATTTTACTTTTATTAATTTTAATTTTTTACCTACGTGACTTTACCGAAAAAAACCTAAAAATATGAATCCTTGCAGTCACGAAAGCTTCAAATCTAGAATTATTGAAGAGACGACAGAAATAGGGTAGGATTAGTGCCCAGTGTCATCTGCTGGGGTCGTTTCCGGACACGTGCGATGTCACGACGATTGGACGTCAACAGCACAACCGGCAAACAAGTGGGATACACAAAGCAACGTCTGCTCCCGACAGCTCTGCAAGTGGAAGGTGGCAACACCTCGGACTGCGGTGTAGACGTTGGCCATTTGGGAATCGCAATCCCTCCCACACCAGTGTTCAAGAATTCGCTCGTATCAATTCAACATTTCGTCAAGTTATTCCAAGGGATTGTTCAATCGTCCCCAGAAGGGAGGGGGGGAAAAAAACTAAATAACAGAATCCGCTGACACGACGCGGGCTCTCTGCAAGCCAGAGACGCCGCCTGCCAACGTTCATATGCGCATTTCCAGTGCAGCCGGGCACAGTACAAGCCCTGCTCGTGACGCACAGCTGTCTGGAATGCAGCGCATCGGTCGCGATCAGTTGAGTTACACAAGCAGCGTTTCGTAATATGTTGTTAACAGTAACGCAACGGTGTTACGTAATTATTCAGTGGCGGTGCAGACAGCACTCCGTGTTCTTCGATTCTACGATTTCGCGTTTCAAACCCAACAACTCGGTGCGTGTGTTGCCAATGGACCAAAATCAGAATCTTTATTTATCCTGGAGAAATCCTATGGCTGGTGAAATGGGTGCCGCATGGGCTGGCAGCGTTCGTATTGCAGCGGACTGCCCGACCGCAAATGCTTCCCCCAGAAGCGCGCCACCGACCCATGGCTATAATCTTGAAGCTGCAGCTGCTGAGAAATCTACTCGCGGGCACCAACCCCCTACTACGAGGCTGAACGGGGCTGTCTGCTGAATGCAGAACAACGTCTTAGCCTCGCGCGGTCCTCATGAGGACGGCACACGCTGGGTACGATGGGCGGCAATGTTCACATACCGTATATAGAAGCGTACATAGATGTAGAACGTGGCAATTGGGCTACAATTTTGGCGCACGATGATCGACTGTACCGAGGCAATGCCTCAAATTCTGTTCTATTCTTGGATATGGCAGCACTACGTTCAGGAGCCAGATGTAATGTCAAGTTCAGCTGGTCACGATAAGAGGGCTTCAGGGGAGGGTGTAGTTTTTTTGCTCCTCCGTTGAAGGAGAACAGACTACAGTGGGTTTCACTGTGGTCCATGGTTCGGTTTGCATGGCCACAATCGCACGACGATTATGATGGAAACGCACGCATCGATCTGTTGATGTTCCCATGCGGATGATGGTCACACCACTGCCTTCGAGGAGGAGGAATGTCAAAGCTAGGAGGTGTGATGTTTTGGGTCTCGAATGAGGAGTCTTTTCTGGATGTCCGGGTTGTTCCACTCCGTTCGCCAAGCGTTCTTCCACAAATGAAACGAATGGGACAACCCTCGCTGCCTCCACGCTACCGGACCACAGCCCAGCACCACGACCGCCCGACAAATCTGTACGCGTCACCGCAGAGTGCAGACGGAACCCGGGAGTACGTACAGCCGTGCGCCGTGGTGCCGAACGCTGCCCGTGGCAAGACATCACAAGCGGCTGCAGCACATGGCGCTAGCCGCGAATCCAAGATACGGGGAGCCAAGAGACATGGGAAGCCGAGAAAACACGGGGGGCCGTGTCTGTGGGTGAGCTCAGGGCACGCGGATCACTCAAGGACCCTCACTGCCACCCTCAGGAGCTCTCTCAAGAGAGAGAGAGAGAGCCGTGGTGGAATGTGGCCTCGAATCAGAGTGCAAGGCAAATGCACAGCAAAGCCCTCGTGCACACACGACTTCAAAAACACAGCAAGCCTCAACTGGGACCCAAGGCTACCAGAGAGGGACCTTACTTACCAAGGTCTGGCAGTTCCGCCAGCCTGCTGGTGAGACTGCATGCCGGTCAAAACCCGACCCAGAGTTTGTTTTTAATAAACCAATGTTGTTGAACATATGCAACGCCAGCAGGCCATGTGGCTGATGGGATTTGCAAAAAAAATGTACATTTAATGCGGAGGGCAAATATTTGTTCGGGATGCATATTGTCAGTTTATGTATTTTGCGACTTATATTCTCAACGACGCAAGCGATTATGCGACAGATCATCAACCCACTGCCAGATGCAGGCCTCCCCACACCCTTTCGGTCATGGGCGTTGAATGACCATACTTCACCTCGCTAGTGAGTCCGGGTCGTCGGTAAAAGGGACTTTGCTAGGAACCGTGTAAATATCATTCATCACTGATATTAGCTGTGGCCCGGAATTGAACTTGGGTCGCTGGGTTCATAGGGCAGCGCGCTAATCACTGCGCCACCGCTCCACCCAGCCTAATCTTATTTTATTTCCATGTTCATTTTGGTTGTTAGAAAGTATATACGGTATATATATATATAGAAACACACACAGACAGCGAGAGTTTACACAAACAACTAGCAGTCGGTGAAGGGGCAGCCTGCTATTAAAAGCAGAAGATTACATCTGCCGCTGTGTGGCTGGGCGCTCCTTTTGGGAGCAAAATGAAATAACAGGAAATGTGTATTTGGGTTGCGGCTTCCTATATAGCCATTCCCTGCAGTCACAATACGGCTCACGGTGGTCACCAGAAGTCTGCGACTACATTTGCCACTGGGCTACAAAGTGAAAAGCTCTGTTGCCACTCCCACAGAGAGCTTGAGGAAGTCAACAGATGACTGCACACACAGCAGAAGACCAAACATTCAAGTGACCATTCTCTACGATACCCACACCAAGCAACTATTCTCCACTATAACCACATTAGGCAGTGTGGCCAACAGAAGCAATACACCAAACCCTACAACAGTTTGTTCCATCATCACATGTTTTATTTCTCACCCTGAAGCTCTTCTTGCAGTGCGACGCTCCCCAGCGATGCCCATTCATTTTCTCAAGACACTGCACCGGTTTTGACTTCCGCCCTGCCACCAGCGAGGTGCGGCATCACACACCAATGGCTCCGGGTGGCCAAACGTGACGAGCGAGCGCAAGAGAAGGCCACAGACGTCGCGAGGAATCAAGAGCGAAGCCGCAGCAGCAGCAGCAGAGTGCGTCAAGCAATCCAAATGATGCGGTGGAGCCCTTTGGGTGGCAGATTTGTGCCAGAAAGATGCCACGTGTTAACCAAAAATAAACTGACTTCACAATCGGAGTAAGAATCATTATTCATCCTGCTGGAATCCCATGAGCTGTGGAGCTCGTTTGAACAGATGTCTAATAGGTGTGGGCCAGCGAGTTATCACGACAAACAATAGCAGAAACGATAGGAATGCAAAACAGAGAAAAGGTCAGCAAGTCACTAAAAATAATGAAATTAAATAGACAGTACATATACAAATTGCATAAGTATATACATTCCTGCCAAATTTTCAACACAAATACAAGCTTGGGCAAGGCAGCAAAACAACAACAAAAACCAGTCCCAGACCACACAAGACAAGACACAGTCCCTTAGTGACATGGCACAATGAAAATGAAATTGGCCACAGCAATAAACCTGTGGCAGCTGAAAAGCCATGGATGGGTTCTTGCCGATGACACCAAGCAAAACAAGAAACACCACTGGAAAATTCGAATCCAGTCGAGGAAACCCCACCGAGTCGGTGTTGATTCTCTGTTTTGGGCCGAGGCAGACCCTTGGCTCATTAGTTTATTGCTTTGTT